AGTTGTGACAATGTTTCAAACTAAATTCAGTTATGAGATAAATTAATTGATTCAAATCTAAATTTGATAAAAAAAAAGTTTATATATATATAAGCTTACCAGATTACTACATTCATCAGCCTCATTACTTTCACCCTAGATTAAAGATTCAAGTATTTATGATAAATTAATTTATTTTTTAACAATATTTAATTAATTCTAGATAAGGAACCATCTACATCAGTTTCTTTTTAATAATATATAATAAACAGCAATCGCAAAATTAGTTAAATAGATAGTGATATACATATTGACAATTGCAAATATATGTATACTAGATAATAAATTATGATATAAAACAATTCTTACTTGATAAGCATTAACATACTTTTGATTCTCAATTTCAGAATCACTTTTATGCGATTCTTTAGTTGATTCATCCTGAACTAAATTTCTAAGTTTCCTTTTTTTTGATTTTTTTTTTTTAAAAAAAAATTTTTAAGCAAAAAAAATTGTCACTGTTAGAAAATTTGAAGTTAACTAAATTTCTTACTTGGTTATTACTATGCAGAAAGTCAGTATCACCCGTAGTGGTAGAAAGTGAATCATTAGATTGTTCTATAAAGTTTGCATATAAGCTATTCTTTTGTTTGAAATTTTATTATTAATGATATTAATATTATAACATTTAATAGTGTCACCAAATAATATTTTTGCAGAGATAAAAAACATTTCATACTGTATTGACACTTTCAATTAGGACATATGGATATTGTCAGATATCATTTTCTGTTTCATATATATGCTTTAAATAATAAAGATAGTTAAACATCTTATTTACCAAATTTACCATTGAAAATGTCGACTTAATGCCTGATAATCTATAAATAAATCAGACAGATTTCCTTTAGTAATATTTTGCGGTGGGGTAGATGGCACTTGACTATTAATAATTGATGAACTTGCAAGTATATCCTTACGATAATGAAAGAAATAAGTGAATATATATATAAAAAAGAAAAAAAAAAGTAAGTTAATAATAACGCCACCAACATTTCTATTGCTTGTTTCAGCATTAACAATTTTAGGTTATGAAAAGTTTGATTTTTTACTAGAATCATAGCTTTGGTTTACAGTCAGCTTCCAGAAATTTTTTTATTAGCATGTAATAATTATTAATAAAACTAACTCATTTATAATGTTTACCAATATTTCGATAACACTAGGTAAGGAATCATCTGTCAAATCTGAGGAACACGTTCTGTGAAACCGTAGACTGATTTATTATTTACTTTTAATTAATTTGAAATAGTTTAGAGATATTACAATTAACTATAACTAACATCATGTTAATATTTATTCACCTTATTGACTTGTCTAGTTTTGGTCTCATTGTTTTCAATTTTCTTTGAAGTATTAAAATTTTTATTGATTTTGGATTAGTACTTTTTGTTGGAATTTCTTTTTGCCAACCTTGAAGCCAGCACATCAAATATAAGTTTATCAACTTCTTTAGCTAAGTCAGAATACTCATCAGATCGTGAGTTATTGCATTGTAATGATTCTTTTTTGAATTTTAATTATTATGGTTATAAACGATAAAATTAAAAACATTTTCCAATTTTAAAATATTTAGATTAAAATTAATGATTCAATTAGTAATTCTTCTAAACAAGTTTTAACCAATAATTCTTTTTTTTTATTTGACCAACTAATTTATCGAAATTTACCTGAACACTAGAGTGAGACTCATTTCTTTGATCCTTTTCGATAGCATTAAATAATTGACCCTAAATTTTTTTTTTTTAGATACTAAAAATTATATCTATAGTAAGTTGCTAGATAAATTTAATACATACATCACTTTTTTTCTGGTTTAAAGATTGGGCTACGGAAATAAAAGCATCTGAATCATCTGAAAAATTTGCATTTTTATTTGTATTGTCTTCCTCTATATCAAAACTTAAATTTTGTGCACCACTTTCTTTTGTAGTATTTAATTGCGAATTATTAGTAGATTGTTCCTAAGATTTTCTATGATAAGATTACTAATAATCCTTTTGATTTGGTTTGAACACTTGTTTGTAAATTTGGTATTCACAGCAATTTACTTGAATACTAGACTCCAAAACTTGGATTTCATTTCCTAAATCCATTTCGATTGAATCAGATTATTGGTCCTACAAATTTATTTTTGTTACTAAAATATGATATATAACTTATATAAAGTTACTATACAAATTTTAATACTTACACCGCTTTCTTCATGATTTAAAGGTGAGGCTACAGAATCCAAACCTTTAATTTCATTTTTCTGATCCTTCTCGATAGCGTTAGACAATTGGACCTAAAAATTTTTTATTTAGTACTAAATAGTATCTATAATAAATTATCAAAATTTTAATACATTGTTTAAAGGTTGTGCTACAAAAGCTGAATCATTTGAATCATCTGAAGGATTTGATTTTTTATTTGCACTGTCTTCCTTTACATCAAAACTCAAATTTTGAACTGCACTTTCTTGAATCGTAATTTTTTCTACTGTGTTCGATTGTGAATTACTAGTACAATATTGGGCTACAAGGTTACATTCTTGATTTTTTTTTTCTTTGATCCTTCTTGGTATCATTAGACAATTGGTTCTAAAAATTATTATTTTAGATGCTAAATGATGTCAATATTAAATTGTTAAATTTCTAATACATACACTATGTTCTTCATAGTTGAGTTGGGGTCCACTTTCTTGTGTCGTTATTTCTTCTGTATTCAATTGTAAATCCTAAAGATTTTCCATATTAGGGCAAAATTAAAAAAAAAAAGCAACATAAAATATATATATACTTCATCATCAATTGTAATTGGAGCTTCATTCTGTTCCATAAGCCTTAAGAGCATTAAGTAATTCTCTCTGCTAAGAAGCACCACATTTGGTGCGTCTAAATGTAATGTTTTGAAAGTTTTATTATTTAAAAAAAAAGTAACAAAAAATAATAGATTTGTATTAAAAGTGGTGATAGTTATTCTGCCTTCGGTAGCCTTCCAAATAATATTAAAGAATTTTTTATGAGTTCGTCTTTATTGTCTACTGTCTCAATCATTTTTTTGACAATTTTTTTAGAAATGAGGCTGATGAATGTAGTAATCTGGTAAGCTTATATATATATAAACTTTTTTTTTTATCAAATTTAGATTTGAATCAATTAATTTATCTCATAACTGAATTTAGTTTGAAACATTGTCACAACT